CTTTCTTCCTTGCTTTCTTTCTTTGTCGTTTCTTTCTTTCTTTTTCTTTCTTTCTTTCTTTCCTTGTGTTTTTGTCATATTGCTTTCTATTTCATTTTTCTTTCTTAGTTCTTCATATGTTTCTTCGTTTTTCATTCCTTCCTTTCTTCTTTCTTTCATTGTTTTCATGTATTTTGGCATAATTCTTCCATTTCGTTTTTCTTTGATTTTCTTCATATTTCTTCATTTTTCATTCATTCTTTCTTTCTTTCTTTCTTTTTTTCCTTTTATTTTATTATATTTCTTTCCATTTCTTTTCTTCCTTTTATTCCTTAATTTTTTTCTTTCCATGTATTTTTCGTTTTTTCTTGGTTTCATTCATTCGTTTTGTTTGATTGTATTTTGTTTCTTTTTTTTTTGTTATTTTTCCTTTTGCAAAACGCAAGTTAGTTCTTTCATTCTTTAATGTTTCCTTGTTAGGTTTTTTCGTTCTTACTTTTGTTTCCATGTTTATTCATTCATTCTTTAGTCATTTCGTTCATTTGTTTTTTATTTACTTTTTGTTTGTTTGTTTCTTTCTTTCTTTCTTTCTTTCATTTGTTTCTTCCGTCTTTCTTTCACTATGAACATTTTTGTTTGTTCATTTTCTTTTTCTTTTAGACCATGCGTTCTTTGATTGATTCTTTCCTTTATTCTTTCTTTCATTCATTCTTTATTTTTTTCTGTTTTTCTTTAGATTGTTCTTTCTTTCATTTTTCTTTCGCCCGTTCTTCCGAATTTTCATTCTTTCACACCTGCTTTCTTTTTTTTTTTTTTTTTTTGAATCTTTTATGTCTTCTTCGGTTCGTTCATTCATCCTTTCTTTCTTTCTTTCTTTCGTTCTTTCTTTCTTTCTTTGTGTTATTCCGTTCTTTCGTATCTTCTTTCATTCTATCCTTCCTTACTTCGTTTTTACCGTCAATTGCTCTTTCTTTCTTTTGCTGGTATTTCGTTCATTTGTTTCTATTTTCAATTTTTTCTCCCCTTTTAATTCGCATTTTTTCTTCTTTCGTCCCGGCTTACTTTTTTCAAATCTTTTGTTTCTTCTTCCGTTCGTTCATTCATTCTTTCTTTCTTTCCTTCCTTCATTCCTTCCTTCTTTCTTTCTTTCTTTCTTTCTTTGTGTTATTCCGTTCTTTCGTACCTTCTTTCATTCTATCCTTCCTTACTTCGTTTTTACCGTCATTTCCTCTTTCTTTCGCTCTTTTCTTTCTTTCTTTCTTTCTTTCTTTCTTTCTTTCTTTCACTCTTTCTTTCTTTGTATTATTCTTTCCTTCCTTATTTCGATTTTATGATCATTTCCTCTTTCTTTCGCTCTTTTCTTTCTTTCTTTCTTTTTCTTTCTTTCTTTCTTTCTTTCTTTCTTTCGTTCTTTCTTTCTTTGTATTAGTCTTTCCTTTCTTATTTCGTTTTTATGATCATTTCCTCTTTCTTTCGCTCTTTTCTTTCATTCTTTCTTTCTTTCGTTCTTTTCTTTCTTTCTTTCTTTCTTTCTTTCTTTCTTTCTTTGTGTTATTCCGTTCTTTCGTACCTTCTTTCATTCTATCCTTCCTTATTTCAATTTTATCATCATTTCCTCTTTCTTTCGCTCTTTTCTTACTTTCTTTTTCTTTCTTTCTTTCTTTCTTTCTTTCTTTCTTTCTTTCTTTCGTTCTTTCTTTCTTTGTATTATTCTTTCCTTTCTTATTTCGTTTTTATGATCATTTCCTCTTTCTTTCGCTCTTTTCTTTCTTTCTTTCTTTCTTTCTTTCTTTGTGTTATTCCGTTCTTTCGTACCTTCTTTCATTCTATCCTTCCTTATTTCGATTTTATGATAATTTCCTCTTTCTTTCGCTCTTTTCTTTCTTTCTTTTTCTTTCTTTCTTTCTTTCTTTCTTTCTTTCTTTCTTTGTATTATTCTTTCTTTTCTTATTTCGTTTTTATGATCATTTCCTCTTTCTTTCGCTCTTTTCTTTCTTTCTTTCTTTCGCTCTTTTTCTTTCTTTTTCTTTCTTTCTTTCTTTCTTTCTTTCTTTTGTATTATTCTTTTTTTTCTTATTTCGTTTTTATGATCATTTCCTCTTTCTTTCGCTCTTTTCTTTCTTTCTTTCTTTCGCTCTTTTTCTTTCTTTTTCTTTCTTTCTTTCTTTCTTTCTTTCTTTCTTTCTTTCTTTGTATTATTCTTTCTTTTCTTATTTCGTTTTTATGATCATTTCCTCTTTCTTTCGCTCTTTTCTTTCTTTCTTTCTTTCTTTCTTTCGCTCTTTTTCTTTCGCTCTTTCTTTCTTTCTTTGTATTATTCTTTCTTTTCTTATTTCGTTTTTATGATCATTTCCTCTTTCTTTCTCTCTTTTCTTTCTTTCTTTCTTTCTTTCTTTCGCTCTTTTTCTTTCTTTTTCTTTCTTTCTTTCTTTCTTTGTATTATTCTTTCTTTTCTTATTTCGTTTTTATGATCATTTCCTCTTTCTTTCGCTCTTTTCTTTCTTTCTTTATATATATGTCTTTTTTCGTTCCTTCTTTTGTTTTTCGCTCATTCGTTTCTAGTTTCAATTTTTTCGCTTCCTTTTTTGAATTCGTTTTTTTTTTTCCTTTTTTCATTCTTCCGTTCATTCATTCATTGATTTTTCATCTTATTTACTTTCTTTTATTTCCTTCTATCGTTCATTCTTTTATTTTTTGTTATTTTCTTCTTTTTTTCTTCTTTCCTGTTTTCATTCGTTCGTACTTTCTTTTAATTTTCGATATTTCCTTCCTTCTTTAGTGTTTTCATTCTTTCGTTCCTTCTGTTTCTTTTCTTTTCTTTTATCCTGCTTGATCTTTCGTCCTTTCTTTCATTTTTTTGTTCTTTCTTCTTTCTTTCATGTTTTCATTTGTTTGTACCTTCTTTCAAGTTTCGTTCTTTCTTTCCCTGTTTTGGGATTTCATTCTTTCGTACATTCATTTATTTTCCTTCTCACTTTTTTCTTTCCTGTTTTCAATTTAGTTTCATTCTTTTATTTTCTTGCTTCCTTTCTTTGATGTTTTTCTTACGTTTCTCTTTTATCCACCATTCTTTTTTTCTTTCTTTTTTTCATTTTTTGCTCCTTCTTTTATTTTTTTGTTCCTTCTTTCATATTCTTCTTCTTTCGTTTCTCCTTTTATTTTTCCTTCTTTTTCTCGTCTTTTCATTCTTTATTTCCTTCTTTTATTTCCTTTCTTTCTTTCTTTCTTTCGTGTTTTTTCTCTTTCATTTCTGCTTTAATTTTTGTTTTTGTTTTCTTTTTCTGTTTTCATTCTTTCGTTCCTTCTTTTCTTTTAATTTTTTTCGTTCTTTCTTTCGTATTTGATCCGTTCGTATTGTCTTTCTTTCATTCCTTCGTTCTTTCAATTTCTTCCTTTCTAGTTTTGTTTTCCTTCTTTAGCCAATCAGTCACCCGCCTCCTTATCCACAACATGATCAAATTGACGAGACCTCAAACCCAAAAAATCCTCCTGGTTCGTCATCTTTAATTATATTATTTTTCGTTTTGTATTCATAAACCCACAATACATTGTCATGCACTAAATGCTTTTTTCAGTTATAAGGGAATTAATCCATATAACAATGAAAAAAGCAAGTGCATTTACTATCCCTGTACAAACAGTGCCTGTCCCTGATGGCTGGATTGTGTTACTAGTGTCCTCGGGTATCTCCATAGGGATTGGAAGCGTGTGATTAGGCTGAGGCCAAAGGCGGGAATACCAAACAAGCTAATTAGCAAGACAACAGACAGCAAATAATGGACTATTATGAATTACTGTCGACTTAGCCCTCTATTCATCCATTAAAGTCTTTCAGGCGATATGGTATGGAAAAGACCGTGGGGGCAATAATAAAAAAAAATACAACAAAAAGAAGAAGGAAAAAACAGCAGCATTTTTATTATTATTTGAACATTATTATTATTATTATTATTATTATTATTCATTATTTATTATTATTATAATTATTATTAGCAACAATAATAATAATCGTCAATTTTTGCTTTTACTCTTTACATTTACTACTCTGTATATATATATATATATATATATATATATATATATATATATATATATATATATAAATAAAAGTGAACATAAAGTCAACACTTAGAGGCGACAGTCGGTTTCATGCTAGATGCAATCATTCAATACACGCTCTATCTCTGATATTGAGCACTTTGTCCCATAAATATAGCACCTCTTAAGACTTTATATATATATATATATATATATATATATATAAATATATATATATATATACACACACACACACACACACACACACACACACATATATATATATATATATATACACACTTATATATATATATACCGATTGTAACAGCAAAATTGTCCAAATCGTGTAATAGCATAATTGTCCATCTCATAAATTGTTTGATACACACACAGACACACAGACACACACACACACACACATATATATGATAAAAATCGTGTTTTATTGTATGATATATTTACGGGTTAAAGTGCTGAACGCCAAGGGTAGAGCGTATATAAATATAAAAGTTGACACTGAAGTCAACACCCAGTCAATCGTTAGGACATTCTTCAGGCGATCTTGCGTTTAAGCATGAAAGTGTCAGTCACCGCCGTTTATTGACCTCAATGCTTCCTTTTATATTTACATGAGCCCTTTATCCCCATCTATGGACAAATTTGCTGTTACACCCTGTATATATATATATATATATATATATATATATATATAATGGAAGGAATGACACAAATTATTATATACCAGAAGAATATTTGGAAAAGTTCACTAATTCATATATATATATATATATATATATATATATATATATATATATATATATATATATATATATAACACCATGATCAATACTCTGGCCGTACCAAAGAAGCTGATATAGACAAAGCCCGTACTCATCAGTGGTCATGTAGTGCAGTTTTAAAAGCTAAAACTGACTGTTTTATTCTTGCTGCACATGACAAATGCTTGCTAATTAGAAAAACAACTATGAAAGAATAACGATTAGGATGGGAAGTTTTGAAGAAAGAAAGAAAGAAAGAAAGAAGGGAGAGAAGCAATAATGAAAAAGAAAGGAAAGAAAGAAAGAAAGAAAGAAAGAAAGAAGAGAGAAAGCAATAATGAAAAGAAAGGAAAGAAAGAAAGAAAAGAAAGAAAGAAAAAAAGAGAAGAAGCAATAATGAAAAAGAAAGGAAAGAAAGAAAGAAAGAAAGAAAGAAGAGAGAGAAGCAATAATGAAAAAGAAAGGAAAGAAAGAAAGAAAGAAAGAAGAGAGAGAAGCAATAATGAAAAAGAAAGGAAAGAAAGAAAGAAAGAAGAGAGAGAAGCAATAATGAAAAAGAAAGGAAAGAAAGAAAGAAAGAAAGAAAGAAAGAAAGAAAGAAGAGAGAGCAATAATGAAAAAAAAAAGGAAAAAAAAGAAAAGAAAGAAGAGAGAGAAGCAATAATGAAAAGAAAGGAAAGAAAGAAAGAAAGAAGAGAGAAGCAATAATGAAAAAGAAAGGAAAGAAAGAAAGAAAGAAAGAAAGAAAGAAAAAAGAAAGAAGAGAGAGAAGCAATAATGAAAAAGAAAGGAAAGAAAGAAAGAAAGAAGACGCATTGGTGTGAGAAGGAAAGAAATAGAGAGTAAGCGTAGAAAGAAAATCACCAAATTTATTTACATTCTTTTGAAAAACACCAAATAATGAAGAAGAGAAAGAAAGATAATAATAATAATAATAATAATAATAATAAGAAGAAGAAGAAGAAGAAGAAGACGAAGAAGATTAAGAATAATAATAATAATGTTCAAATAATAATAAATTTTATTTTATTTTATTTTATTTTATTTTATTTTTCATGATGCCATTTCTAACCTTAGGTCCCTGGGCGGGACCCGGAAAGAAATGTGTAAACGGCAGAAATCAAAGAAAATAATAATAATAATAATAATAATAATAATAATAATAATAATAATAATATACCAAATGTTGAAACGATGGCAAGACAAGCCTGTTCATGGTCCATGCACAGGCCGTACCAAACAAGCTGATGTAGACAAACCCCGTATTCATCAATGTTCGTGTAGTGCAAGTTTAAATAAAGGAATAAGCAGACTCTGAAATTACGGATTGAATCTACAGGCTGTCAAGGATTGCTCAGACCTTGAATAGTTTACGTAACAAATAGTCTGCTTTGGGAAATTTTGTAGTAAACATAATTTTGTTGGTAAATATGTAGCATTTATGGGGATGATAACTTTTCCTTACGTGTTTATAAATTGTACACTGTTCGATCAATTTTGACGGCACGGGTACATAAATATATATATATATATATATATATATATATATATATATATATATATATTATAAATTAATTGATTTAAAATATGGTTTTTTCCGCTACACAGTTCTAACAACCGGATTATATAACCATATTTTAAATCAATTAATTCTAATAATACTCAGTAAATTTACATTGAGCACTATTTTGTAAAAATAAAAATATCTATAAGAACACAGGATTATATATCTTACTGTTCTTTCGTTTTATTATACATACATACATATATATATATATATATATATATATATATATATATATATATATATATATATATATATATATATACACACATATATATATATACATATATATATATATATATATATATATATATATATATAGTTAGTTAGTTTATAGAAAAAACTACGTAATCCGTATGGGTAAACCTAAGGAGGATAAAATCCAGAGAACTCAATGTAAGTCCAGAGCAAAATAATTTAATATATATATATATATATATATATATATATATATATATATATATAACTATAAACCTAAAAGATTTAATATATATATATATATAACTATCAACCTAAAAGAGCCAGGCAAACCTACCTAAGTTTCACCTACGCGGATCGTCCAGGTACGCCAGCCAAAGAGGCAACATTAGAACAGAATATAAATAGACTACAACATAAAAAAATGTACATGTGACCAATAAATTAAAAACAAAAAAAACAGTAACTCAACAACAGGAGGGGTTAATTCGGAAGAGTATACTTACTTATATTTAAAATATTATATATATATATATATATATATATATATATATATATATATATATATATATATATATATAATTTCTTTTATATAAATTATTTATGTATTATATATATGCGGTACTTATTGGAAAGCGCTCAATATCAGGGACAGAGATAACATTTAGTTGGATTGGTGTGAGTTTGTAGCCCTGGGTTTCACGCTATTTTGCGATCGTCAGACAAAAGCGTGAAGACCAGGTCACAAACTCACACCAATCTAACTTTATATATATATACATATATATATATATATATATATATATATATATATATATATATATATATATATAGGCTACCTATGACCCTTTGAGCCACTGACTGTTCAGGTTATAAAATATTGAAGTTGATTTCACTATTCCATCTGGTTTACAAGTTCATGTTTAACTTTTTACTGATTCCTTACAGCAATCAATAGGAATAGAATTTTCAGGAAAACTTGAACTTCAGCAACAGCATTTATTTATGGCATATAGGAACACTTGTACAAAATGCAAAAGGAATTGTTATATTATTGTATAAATAATCTGTAATTTTTTAAATCAGATTAACTTTAAAATATTTTTTCCAATATGCCAAATATATATATATATATATAATGTTCACTTTAAATTTTTTTAAAAATATGTCAAAAAATGTTTTTTTTAGATATTTAAAATATTGTTGATTTAAAGAGAATATAAATAATTACTTTGCAAACAAGTGGACGAAACAGTAAATCAGGATTTCCTTGATTCTGTCTTTAACTCAAAATTATTTGAATTCTAAAAATTCTCTGTTCGAAGAAAGTTAAAATAAAATTTTTTACTGTATAAACAACTCGTACTTTTAAATCTTATTCACTTAAAATATTTTTTAAATCAGACTAACTTTAAAATATTTTTTTTATTATTTAAAATATTGTTTGTCTAAAGAGAGCTGAAATGTAAATAATTATTCTCCAAACAAGTGGCCGAAACAGGAAAGCGGGACCTCTTTGTGCCTGTCTTTAACTTAAAAAATATTTTAATTAAAAAATTATCTTTTTGAAGAAAGTAAAAATAAAAATACTGTATAATCAACTCGTACTTTTAAATCTGATTAACTTAAATAAATATTCACCGTACGCACACAATCACAGACTTTTAGTATTATATATATATATATATATATATATATATATATATATATATATATATAGATAGATAGATAGATAGATAGATAGATACAAATATAGGTAACTATACTCGTTTCGAAGAACCTTCGAGTTTTTGATTTGCCAATAATCAAATCAATCTCGAAGAAAAAAAGTTTTTAAAAAAACGAAAGATCTAGAAACCTGAAAGTCTGTCGAAAAAATTCGCACAGATACAGGTTCAAAGCCCAAAGAAAAAAAACCGATACGAGTAAACAACTAACTACCAAAAGAGCTCAATACAACCGTAGAGCAGACCTAGATAAACCTAGTGAGCCAGACAAACCTACCCAGGTTTCCCTGACGATCCGCTTAGGTGAAACCTGGTTAGGTTTATCTGGCTCACTAGGTTTTTATCTATTATCTATCTATCTATCTATCTATCTATCTATCTATCTATCTATCTATCTCTCTCTCTCTCTATATATATATATATATATATATATATATATATATATAGAGAGAGAGAGAGAGAGAGAAAGAGAAAGAGAGAGATTATTTCATTAGGCAGCAATCCCTCATTTATACATGTTTTATTAAAGACGACAGACAAGATACTTCGATTAAGCTTTTTATTTAATTTTTCTTGTGTTCGAACAAGTGTTTTCTTTTTCTTTTCCGGATACAATGTGTGTAGAAAGTGTAGAAATGTTCTGTAATTCCGGGCGCTTTCGGCTATACGTTTAGCCATTATCAAGGATGATTTTACTTTTACTTTTTAAGTTGATGTATGCTTGTATTTATCTAGAATTAACCGCAGACACACACACACAACACCTATGGGTTATTTAATGCAGAAATCTAAATATTTTGTACAACATTTTATACTTCCAATGTAATATGTCTTGTAGATGATAAAGTATATTGTTTATTTTATGTACTAGTTCTTTTGGTTTTATCTTTAATCAGGGGGGCAATGTTTCCGCTGTCTCTTTGTACCAATTCTTTGGTCAGCCAGAATGTCTACTGTCACATAGCAACACGCCTTTGAATATTGGTCAAATCCACACAGCCCAAACATTCAATGTTGGCTGCTTGATTGATTGTTTAGCAGTACATCAACACCTCTATGGGTTATTTAATGCCGAAATCTAGATATATTTGCATATAGTTTTATGACTTCAACTACAGATATTTTTTATATAATCTTATTCTTTCAGGGTAAATATATGCTTTATAGATATATAATTTGCAGATGATTTATTGTAGGTGTTATATTATTTAGTATAAATCTATTTATTAAGTTGAACATTATGTCAAATAATGATATTTATTCTGTGTAAAATACAAAAATGTGGCGCAAGGCAAAAAAAAAGAGGGATGGGGTAAAGCTGGGCTTCTGTCTTATAATTAAACTTAGTCAGCCACAATCAGTGACGCAAACAAACTACAATATTCCTTAGACGAAAGCAGCACATTCTTACTTACCATTCTTACTACAGTCACCGTAATACCTCAAGTCTCTATGAAATCTGAAATAGTGACCATATGTACATTTTTTTTTGTCTGGGGAGAAGAATAAAAGCATCAATTTAAATATCTTACCCCCAAAAAGTAATATTTATTTTGTAAACACAAAAATGTGGCACAAGGCCAAAAGGAGGAAGGGCCATGGTCTTTAGTCTGTTTTATCTTAAACTAAGATTACTGACCCAAATATAACACACTATTCCTTACACCAAAACAACGCATTCTTACTTATCATTCTTACTACAGTCACCATAATACCTCAAGTCTCTATGAAAGTGGAAAGAATCTCTAAATATAAAGTAGGAGCACCAGATCAGAATTGGCAGAACTATTCAAAACAAAGACGAATGTTTATAGTCATAATTATATCAAATAGTTTTTGAAAATAAAAATAAAAACTGTTGCACAAAGGCAAAAGGGAGATATGGGAAGGCTGTTCTTCAGTCTGTCTTATCGTAAACTTATATTTTAATTGACTGCACAGAATAGTAGAGTCGGTTTGGCAACATCTGTGAGAAAAAGGGTACCAGGACGCAATTCACTCAAGCTCCAATACAAACATTTCAAAGTGTTTGGGTGTCAGTCTGAGGACAGTGCAGAGAATTCGGAAAGAGTTGGATGGATCTAATGGTGATTACGAAGGAGTTTAGAGTGATTACTAGCGATGGCGACCTTATGCTTCCATTCAGCTTCCCACAGGGCCTCAGACACAAAATAAAGGCCTACATCAAGTGCCTTGAGGGGGTAGTGCTGTCTTCGGTCAAGAGCGTAGTCGCTGGACGATCCTTTGTCTGGTAACAGGACTCTGCGACACTCCCCACACATTGAAAACATCCTTAGGAATACGAACTTAAGAAGAATAGAAAATAT